CCCGCCCCGCCCCCCCTCGGCCCCGGGCCCCTGTGCTCGCCGCTCCTGCTGCGGGCGGGGGGAAGACCGCCGGCCTCTCGGGACGGTCCTCGGGGGCGCTGGGGGAGGGGCAGGGAAGAGGCTTGTGCCTTGCGCGCCCGGACCCGGCTTCCCGCCTCACTCCGTGGGGACCCAGACGGCAGAAGATTAAGGTCTTATTTTATTTAGTGAAACATTCATTTGCAAGTGAATCTTCCGTGAAGACGTCCTGAGTGTGTGTGTGCGGGGGGAGGGAGGCCAGCAAAACGCAGCTCACTCCCCTCCCCGCCAACTCGGCCGGGCCTCCGGGCTTCCCTCCCTCAGCCTCTCAGCCAATCATTCTTCCAGGCCCCAGCCCAAGTCCCAACTTGCCCAAGAGCTGGCCCTCCACCCGGTGAGGCTGGGGTGGGAGAAGAGTCAGGTGACCCAGAGGGAGGGGAGGGCAGAGGCTGAGACCCGGCAGCCCCGCCCCCGAGTCACGGCCAACCCAGAACCCGGGACGTGCACCACTCCTACACCCTCACCAGGGAGCCTCGATGTTTGGGTGGGAGGGGAGAAGGCGTCCGAGTGAAGTCGCGGGGAAGGATGGGCTCTTAAATGCCCCCCCCCCATAAGGGAGCGGTGCAAAGGCAACACTGAGTCGTGGGGGGGACGCAGTTGATGCTGTTCTTCTCCTAAACCCTAGGAAGGCTCAGGGCACAGCAGGACAGGGGGCTCATGGCCACCTTAGTTGGCTGCAGAGACCCCTCCACTGAGAGTCACCTCTTCTGGGTCCGAAACTGTCGGAAGAGCCACTGGACGATGAAGGGCCACAGGAGGAAGAAGAGCACCGTGGGACCCGAGAGCCTGAGGGGCCATGGCCGGGCACTGGGCGGGGTCCTCTGCTGCCAAGAGGGAGCGAGTCAGGGGCCAGCCCAGGCTTCAGCACAGACTGGGCCCTCCTGAGGAACCTGCTTCCAGAAGTAAGCAGGAGCTTCGCCTGGGGGAGCTGCCTCCCTAAGATTGTAAGAACGGGAGCAAAGAAGGCACTGCACCCAAATCTGCACCACGAAAAGGGAGGGGACCCTGGGGTTCCCAGTGTGTCCCTGACAGCTGACCTCCATTTCCCTCCCACATCCTCTGCCCAGGACAGTCCCAGGTGCCAAGGGGACTAGAGGGGCTGCCTGGTGGAGAGACTGGCTTCCAGGCTGTCTCTTCTCGGCCACAAATCAGTGGCCCTGTTGGTGTGGCTTGAACACCCAGTATTATAAAGGATGTGCCACATACTTCAAATGGTGCTCAGATTTTCATTTCCAACTATCATCCTTTGCTAAAAGGAGCCCGGGCTCCTTGGAGAAGTGGCTAATTCCAGGTCTGGAGCAGGGAAGGTAGAGGTGAATGTGGGACATCTTGTACCAGAAAGCAAGGAAGCTTTTAAAGATTAATGAGGTCATGTTATGAGAACATAGGACCCAGCTTGAAAGGGTCTCCATTGACCAAAATTGTGACAGTGTAAGCATCACAAAGAATTAATTTCAGTTGACTGAAATACTGAATCTTTAAAATCCATTAGTCCATAATGATACTCAAAGTTGGAAATTTGTCACTATTGAGGTGGCTGTTAAATCAACTTCCTACTTTAAAATAGGTAATTAAAGAGAAAGAATTAAGCCTTTATTCTGCCTTTCCATAAGGCACTGTACTTCAGGGAACCGCTAGATGACACGCTACAGAAAAGTGAAACCTAATATATAGTAAAGAAATAATAGAAATTAAAAATCAACATTTTTTCCAAATATTGATCCAGGCAAGGATTATCCATCAATTGTCAAAAATCATGTGGCCAGTGGGGTTAATGGGGAAGCTGGACATTCCCTGGCTCCAACGGTGTGATGGGATCCGACTGTCACCCCTTCATCTATGCTGGTGGTCCATGTAAGAATCATTTATGGTGGGACATCCAGATCTGTGTCCCCTGATGTGAAGAACATCACATCTGACATAATCTGGTCACGTAAACTAGCCACGAGGATGTAATCAGAAAGTCCCAAAAAGGAACATTCTACAGGACCACTGCACTGGCCCAGTCCCGATAAGTCAGTAGCAAGGAAGAAGGGCTGGTCTGGATGAAAGGAGTCTTAAAGGACAGAGGACCCAAACGCAGCACGTTTTGACTGGACAGAGAAGCTGGCAAAGGCAATTTCAGGACAACTGGGGAGATTTCAGTTTGGATTGGGTGTTTGATAATATGAAGGACTTTGTGTGCTAAAATGTTGTCGTTTGGGCTAGGTACTAGAATGTTCTTATTTTTAGAGATGGAAAACCAGCTATTTCAGGGTGGAGTCTTTAAAATCTTCAGCATGTAAAATTAGCTAAAGGTCAAATAAATAAGTAAATAAAGCCTCGAAGGGGTGGGCGTTGAAAGGTGAATCTGAGGAAATCCCTGCCACCCACATTGTCGAGGGGGTCAGGGATCACCCAAGCGATCCCCCATATCCAGCAATTCAGCCGTCTCCTGCCCCCATGACCCCAGGCTTCTCAAGAACAGACCCACTCAGAGTCAGTGGTGAGTCCCAGCTTCGGAGGGAGACAGACCTGGGGCCACTCCCAGCTCCATCACTGGATGTTGTTAATAATAATAATAATAATAGTAATAATAGTAACAATGGAGCCCATTGGAGAAGGCCTTCCTGGGCTGGGGGGGCATTATCTTATCTAATCCTCACAGCAGCTCTGTGAGGTTCCTCTGGGCTGAATTACTCAGCCTCTCAGAGCCTTGGTTTCCCCTTTGTAAAAGGGAAATGAAAAGCAAACCTAGTTCATCTGATGTGCGGATTAAATGAGATAATGTAAATCCTGTGTTTGGCACTCAGCAGGGGCTCCGAGAAGGGTGGCTGTGAGCCATGCTGCAGGAGCTCAGGAGCCCAGGTGTAAGGGGCAAGCAGATCTAGGAGAGGGGAGAGAGTGAGGGGTGCAAGGGCTGAATTGTTTGGGAGCAAACCCTAAATCTGGGAACGGAAGTCCTGACGAAGGGGCAACAGGGACCCCCAGCCCCAGTGCAAGGAGCACGCACATCCTGGCCTTCCAGACTGTTGGAATTAGCCCTCATGCTCAGTTTCTCTTCCAGCAGAGGGAGGTAAGAGCAGGAAAGGAGGGCCCTTCCCACTCTTCCTTCAGTCCCGGACTGCCCTGCTTGTGACACACACGAGTCACACCATTCTCTGCAGAAGTCAGAGATGTGGGCAGGTGGGGAGTTAGGACAAAAAGACGGAAGTGGCTCCATGAGGGGCCTGGAGTAGAGACCCGTAGCGTTCTGCCTCAATCTTGCCCTGGGCCTTGGGGGCAGCTCACCTGCTTGGGGAGGCTGGGCATGCTCTCTAGGCTCTGCAGTCTCCCCTGGACATCCCGCATGCTCTCTTGCAGTGCCCGAACTGTCCCCACCAGCCACGTGTCCAATTCCTGGGGCCCCAGCGCGCTGCCCTCTGCCGAGCACAGACACAAGGAACGGGGCTCAGGAGGCAACTCAGCTAGGGACAGGGTGGTGGCAGGCTGGGGCAGGTCTGGGGAAAAATAATAGTAGAGTGCAGTCCCTTGTAAAGTGTGCCTTTTATAAAGTCCATTCGAGTGGCTGAGTAACAGGCTGCCACGGGTTTGAATCCCAGCACTGCCATTAGCTGTGTGACTTTGGGTAAGTCAGAAACTTCCCTGAGCCTCATTTTGTCATCTGAAAATTGGGGGAAGAGGTCATTGCCTTCACAGGGCTACTCAATGACCTGCTTACTCAGAGGAAGAAAGGAAATAATATTTATGAAAGTACCCCTTAAAGGACATGGCACACTGGAAGTTCTAGAAGGAGACAGGACAGAAATCACTGTCCTTTGACAGTCTCACATGGGAAGCCTACAGAGAGGGGGCCGGGCAGGGACTTTGCCCATCCAGGCTGGTGTCTGGCTGTTTGGCAAGTGCCCAGTGCCAGACTTTGACCTCCGCCCCAAGAGGGCAGTCAGGGGAAAGCCTGGGGCACACCAGAACCAGAGGGAATGGCAGAAGCGGGTGAAGGGTCGGGCAAGGGCTCACCTTTCTCTGCAGGGAGCAGGGAGCTGTTTCTGGTGTCAGGCTCTCCTCCAGGGGCTCCCTTCTGCTCTGTCCAAACCTGCTGAGATGAGGCACAGGTCCAAGGGTGGGGGTAGGGCAGCAAGGGCCCAGTGGGGTGGGGAAGGCAGGGAATGATGGGTAGTCTCACCAGCTCAGGCTCCAGTTGCTCCAGGGAATCACAGAAAACCTCAGAGTCCAGGTCCCTAGGTGGCCGGGACTCTGGGCAAGGGGAGGTAACATTAGTGACAGAGGGAGGCTATAGAAGAAGGAGAGGGGTGTGCAATGGGGCAGAGGCAGCTGCTCAGGGGGCACTAGAGACAGGAGGCAGAGACAGGTCCCAGGAGTGAGGTCCTGGCACTGGAATCCCAGAACCTGCCCCCCTGGCCTTTGCAAGCACAGGAGGTCTCAGTATCTGTGAGCATGAGGCGTGGCATCCAGCCTTCTCCCCTTACCCACCCCACGGGAAGCCCCCCACCTACCCCTGCTCTGGGTTTGGCTCTCTGTCCCTCCGGCCCAGGCACTGACCTGGACTGGGGGGTGCTGGTTCCCTGGGGAGGCAGGGAGGCTCTGGGGCAGCCCCAACATCTCCATTCAGTACCTGCTCTCTCCAACCTGCTGAGACATGGCACCCAGAGGTGGGGCTGGGAAGAGGCTGGTGCCTCCCAGTGAGATCAACCCCTGCTCCCCATCAGCTATGAGCTCTGCCTGAGACCCACGCCAGCAGGGGCACTGGGTGGAGTCCCTACAGGGACATCACCTGGAGCCCTCTGCCCCCAAATTCCCCCTCCAACTGAGCAGCCCCCTCTGCCTGGACCTAAGAAAATTCACTCAGCACTTGTGGAGCTCACAGCCTGGGGGCCTGACCTGTGACCCTTCTCAGGAAGGTTTCCGGGGGCCTCGGCATATCGGGGATCACCTGGTACAAGGGCTCGAAGTAAGCAAACATGTCCTCTGCCACCTCGCCCAGGGGCACTGTGTCGATCACCTGTGGGGGAGGGGGTCTGTTGGGTAGGGGCCTGCCTCTCCTACCACTGTCCTCCTATCCCCCCTTGAGCCAGGTCCCCTCCACCCTGCTCCTGCCCTGTCATGCCCCTCCACCCTGTTCCCCGTCAGGGACCAGAGACACGCATGGTTGGGGAGACAGCATGAAGGTGGTAATTCCTACAGGTGTGTCAGTGTGCAGGAAACATAATGGGGGTCAGCCCTGGAAAGGCTGGGGACAGAAAGAAGCCTGCAGCCTCTCCCTACCTTCTGTGCCACCAGCTTCATCTCAGTGATGTAGGCAGACATGGCCTCCTCCCTGCTCATCTTGCCCAGGCTGTTCCAGGCATCCCTGGGGGGCAGAGAGCTGTGAGAGGCTGGTTGACAGCTGAGGCTTGTTTGCCCGGCCGGTAGGGAGCTCACCACTTATATCGTCCGATTGGGTCCCAGAACCCAGGCCGGGGGACCAGGCAGGGTCCCATGGTAGCTTGCTTGTAGTAGCTGTAGAATCTCAGCATCTCTTCGTAGGAGGGGCGGTAAGAGCCTGGGCAGAGGGGTGGGAGTGGAAGGCAGAGCATCATCCTCAGGGAGATGGGATGAACCACCCTTGTAATGGGTAGAGATGGCGAGGGCTCTGACCCAGCGGGACAGGGGCAGGAGGCAGACGAGATCCCCAGGGCAGCCCAGGCAGGGACTTATCTGCATCAACTGCAGGGATCAGAGGCAGACCCCAATCTTCTTGACCCCCAAATGCAGGTCCCCGTGCCCTCACCATTCTTAGGCAGGTTCTGAATGACACTGACTGCGGCCTGGAACTGTTTCTGGCAGTCTGGTTCTGGGCTTTCATTCTCGGTACCCATACCCAGCGGCTCCGAGCCCTGGGGACCCACTTTTGAGCGACTCTGCAAGAACAAGCCTCCGTGTGAGCAGACCTCCACGGTCCACCCCGGCACACACCTCCGTAAACCACTGATCCACTTTCCAGAGGAGCAAACAAAGCTCTATACCTGAGTGAGTGAGACACCTCGAGAGGTCAGAAGCTGCGGCTGAAAAGACTCCTTTTCCAACCCCAGGGGAGCGTGGGTGGGGCCCGGGTGGGCGGAGAGGACCCCGGTGGGTGGGTGGAGGCAGGTGCCAAGGGTCGCTGTCCCTCCCTCTCTAGATGCACCTCTCCAACTCCTAAACAGGAGAATGGGCAAGCCAAGAGGAGTCAGGGCGGGGCCAACAGTCTCCCACCCTGGTCCCCCACCCGCTCTGCCCTGGGGTCCCCTACCCCAGCCGCTCGGCCATGAGGCACTCACCCTGCAGCGCCCACTACCCGGACTTGGGTGCTCTGTCGCCACTAGGCCCGCGGCTTCCGACTGACCTCCGGGCCCAATCTGACCGGGATGTGGACGCCGGGGGGAATTTAAGCCAATGAGAGAGCCCGTTTCAGCTTCTTCTTCTATACCTCAACCACTCAGCGCGGTCCTTTCAAGATAATGCAAAATAGTTTAGCTGTGCGTCTCCCAATCAGTCGAGGCGGATCCGCCGGCCGGCTCCCCGACCTTGTGGGGGCCAGAGGAGGGAGGAAGCGCCACCTGGTGGACATAGTGAAACGACGCGGAGTCCTCGCGCCCCCTGGTGGAAGCCCGCGTCTGGCAGCTGAACCCAGGTCCTGCAGAACCGAGCGACTCAACTCAGTTCCCCCGACCCTTCTAGGCGCTGGGGATAAAAAAAAAAAAAAAAGGGAGTCATGCCCTGGAGGAAGAGGAGGTTCTGGAGGAGGGGCACTGGAGCTGAGTTTTGGAACACGTAAGTGTACGCCAGGAGAAGAATGAGGAAGGTCATTCCTGGAGGAAGGAGTTGCAGGATCAAAAGTACAGGAAGAATATCCCGAGAGGGGTGAGGACCCAAACCAGTAGGCCGAACCTCTCGGTCGAGGATATTTGAAAGTGGGCTAGAGCACGTAGATGGCAAATCTAGGCCCTCAGGAATTAAGCTTTCTCTTTGAGGTGCCACACTCTTGGCCGCCGCCGAGGGGCGGTGTGCTCCCGGCTCTCCGCACCCAACCTAGGGCAGTTGCAAACCCTAACAGGGTTAGTCTCCTGCCATTCCCCACTTCGAGCACGGATAGTCTGATGGTTTCACATATAGCAAGTGAACACATGAGGCGGTCACCAGGACCCACACTCGACGTTGACCCACAGGCTGATGTCCCGGACCTCGACACAGGGTGCGACGGCCTTCCCGGGGCAATCGAACGCCCCCTGGGGCGCCAACCCAGCCAAGCCTCGAACCCCGAACCGAGTTCAGCCGGGTATTTTAGACTTAGTGCCACCCCATCTTCCCCAGCTTTGAGACTTCTGCCACTGAGGGACCCGGCTCGGAGAGGGTTAATCCTATGACGTCACAGCAAAGGCTTCCTACCCCCACCCATCCCTCCCCCCTCCCCCAACCCTCCACTTTGGGCTGCCCTCCCGCCTGGCTCAGCTCTCGGGGTTCTCTCGGCTTTCCAGGCCGGCCCGAGGACCCTTGGCCCAGCACGAGCCGCCCCGCAGACTCGGTCCCCTGTCTGGCTCCCTCCTAAGGCCTCCCGGCGGGACAGGGAAGGAAAACATGGAGAGGGGTCCTGAGTCCGCTTCGAGTCAGGATCCAGAGAACGGAGTGTCTGTGGCAGAGGACAATCCTCGCCCCTCCGCTGGCCCCCCACCCCCCGAATAGAGGCTCGGGTCACCGGTGGGGCCGGGAGCCGAGGACCGCTTGGAGAATGCGGAGGCGGACTCGCGAGCGGCGGACGGACGCGGAGACTCGGGGGGACGCAAGCCGGCCCCCGTCCCTTCCCACACCTCGCGGAGGACACACCTCCCGGCCTGGGGTCCCCCCGCCCCCCGCTCCCCGCCACCGCCTCGCACCTCCCCCGGCGCCGTCCTCGGCCCCGCCCCTCCCCTCCCGGTCCCTCCTTCTCCCGACCTCGTCCCTCACTCTCTCCCCGCTCCCGACACCACCTCTCTCCCACTCCCTCCGGGCGCCGCTAAGTTTCTGCGCTCGGGACCGCGCGTAGAGCCGGGGCCGGGCCGGAGCGGCGTCCCCGCTGCCTTGGCCTCGAGCGCAGACCCCCGGCCCGGCCCCGGCCCCACCGAGCCATGCTGTGCGGCCGCTGGAGGAGCTGCCGCCGCCGGCCCGAGGAGCCCCCGGTGCCGGCCCAGGTCGCGACGCCCGTCGCGCTCGCGTCCCCGGACGGCGGCAGCAAGAGGCCCGGGCTGCGGGCGCTGAAGAAGATGGGTCAGTGACGGACGGGGGCGTGCGGGGTGGGCGCGGACTGCCGCGGGGGGCCGCCTGGGACGGCGGGGGTGTGCGGGCGAGCCGTCGTGGGCTTCCCGGGCGGCGGGGGTCGGAATGCCAGCACCGTTCCGGCTGGGGGGTCGCACCTTCGGTCACCCGACGTTCCGGGGCCGAGCGAGGCGCGCCGGTGGCCTTCGCTGCCCACCGGGAGGCGCCCGCCGGGCGTGCTGGAGTGGGAATTTGGGCGCCGGGCGAGGATCGGGGTCCCGGAGGACCTGGTGCATAGAGTGGGGGAGACAGGCTGGGGGTGTCCCTCACCCGCCTCCCCAGCACCCTGTGCCTTCCAGGGTCCGCGGGCGCCCCCGGGCACCCTGGGTTCTTGGCCGCCCTTAGGGGGGCAGGGGAGCTGGGGAAGAGGCCAGCCCCTCAAGCCAGTCCTCCAGCCCTGCAGCCCCCCACAGGGCTTGCAGCAGCGACGCAGCACTGGTAGGACTGGTCGAACTGGTGAGAATACTGTCCTTGAAGTCAGAAAGGCAGAGTCTCAGGTTTGGGGGACGTGACTGCAGGGAAGGAATGTATGTAGGCTGTGGCTCATTAGGCATCTCCCAGAGTCCGACTGCATTGGGTGGTTACAGAGGCGGCATCACCCAGTCTTCCTCACTCTCCGGAGAGGTACCTGGTGTAATTCCCATTTCACAGATGAGGAAACTGACTCAGAGAAGTGGAAGAATTTGTCAGTGGCCACACAGCTAGTTAAGGGCAAGGGCTGACATGGAGGCTGTGCGCAGCCACACTGCCGAAGGGACCGCTCAGAGCCTGGGCAAAGTGTGGCCGACTGGGAGTGGGGAATGTGTGCGAGTGTTGTAGAAAACGTGCCGTACCATGAAACTGAAACGGTGTGTTCGAACTGCTGTAGGTAAATAGTTAATGATGGAGAGGTGGGTGTGGGGCTGGGGGAACAGGGCAGGGCTGCCCAGGAAGGAGACCAGTGTGGATCTTGGGGCAGAATTCAGGGGACCGATTGCCAGTCTTGCCTTCTCTTTGTCACTGCCCCCCACCTTGTTCTTACTTCTACTTCCTGTCACTCATGCGATCTGCATTGACTGAGCTCTGTCCATGTTCTGAGCACTGAACCTTGCACTCTCCTTACGGAGACATAAGACACATGATCTCCGCCTTACCCTCCAATCATTCATGCATTCGGCAGACATCTATTGAGTGCCTATAGTATGCTCTGTCCTGGGATTCAGCAACAAATAAGACAGACACAGTTCTGGCCCTTTAGAGAATGGAGGCATCAGCAAGGAGGGCAGACAATGAGGCAAAGAAACCATACTAGGAAGGGAGGGGACAAATTAGATGCTGGGGAGCCGGCGAGGGCCCTGGCTGCACCCCAGAGCCAGAGGGAGACTGGAGCGAGGCGTGGGGGAGAGGCAGGTGGGGGCCCGATCCTCAAGGCCTCTCCTTATAGAGTTATGGATTTGCCCTGGGGACAGCAGGAGCCCCAGAGGGTCTCAGGTAGGAGGAGGGAGGCAGGGCTCAGGCAGAGTAGAGGCACGTTGGACGAAGGCAGGGGTGAATCAAAGAGAACCATAGGAGGGAGGCTGAGGAATCAGTCGGTCAAGCTATGGTGGTGCTCGGACTTGGGCCGGCACAGCCGAGTTCGATTCTAGAACCATCTAGGAGGCGGACTGGGCTGTACTCTGCAGTTGGTGGGATCTGAAAGGTGTCTCTGGTGGGTGGCAGTGTCATTCTCTGGGCCTTGGGGAGAGGAGGATGGCCGTGGGGAGTTGAGGTGCCACCGAGACATCCGGGGCTGGTGTGGGGCCGGAGAAGGAGAAGCAGAGGTGGCGGATGCTGTGGGAGGCCTGGGGTGCTGCCCCCACATACCCACCTGCTTCTTCATTCCACACACGTTTGCTCAGTCCTGTCAGTGTGTCGTGGCGCTGTGCCAAGGGCTGGGGCCACGGAGATGAATATCACAGCACTTTGCCCTCGGGGAGCACACAGTTTGGTAGCAGGAGATACTCGCGGACAGGTAATTACAAGCTGAGCCCAGGACTCACCCTCACGGCATGAGTAAAGCTGCATGGGGGCATCCCATCCTGCTGACACTGGCAGGACCCGTGTGGGTGTCAGAATGTCACCTGGGCTGTCCTCCCCTCCCACCGCTGCCCTGTCCTGCTGAGTGACTGCCGAGAAAGGAATGTCCAGTTTCTGGGGAATGCCCCTTCCCCAGGCCTCACTGACTCCAGGAACCGGGTGGAGACACAAGCCAGGTGTCCCGGGGCCCAGCCTGTCGGGCCATCAAGGCCAGGCCCACCACCCAGGGAGCTGCCACCAACACAGCTGCCGGGACTCCTCCCCAGATGGCTCTCAGGGCTGCCCCCTGTCACGGTCATGGCCACACCCCTTGAGCTAACAGACAACGGATTTTATTTCAGGTCAAGAGACTAGGGCAGGGAGTGGCTTGGAGGTCAAAGGCTCAGAGGAGCCCGCGGGAAAGAAAGGGCTTTTGGGGTCATCTTGAGGGGGAACTGGGACGATGGGGAGGAGGGAGGAACACCACCTCCTGTCCCCCCCCTTCCCCCCGGGGTTGCAGGCTTAGCTGTCCCCAGGAAGCCAGGGAATAGCTGGAGAGGAGCTCAGTGAGTACCTGCGGAGCCAGACGGAGTGCTCGGCTTGCTGAGCTTGCGTCTGGCGGGAACCTGCTTAATCCTTGGCACCCGGAGGAGACGCTGCTGCGGGCCTCACAGGGCAGATCAGCTGGCGGGGGGGGGCGGGGGGGGGAGTCTCCAGCCCAAGGCCCACATGGCTAAGAGGCAGCCGCCAAAGCCTAGGTTTCAATGTTGGCTCTTTATTGCCAGAATTAATGAATACTAATTAACACCTTTATAACACTGAGTGGGGGCTTTTCACCTATTAACTCCTTTAATGCTCACAATTGTATGAGGTATGTGGTACCATAAGCCTCATCTTACAAATGAGAAACTGAGATTCGGAGTTCAACGGTGAGAAGGAGCTAAGAGAGGATTTGAACCCAGGCGTCTGGCCCGAGGTCCAAACTCCTATCACAGTGAGGGAGTGAGCGATCTGTGCCTGGACGTGGCCCGCTACTCCTCTCCCCGACAGAGGCCCTGCCAGCCCCTAGACGTGTCCTCATAGGCTTACCACATAAAGTACAGGCTGCCCCGTTAAACGTGAGTTTCAAATAAACAACAGATCATTTGGGACAAACTCATACTAAAACATCACTTGTTGTTTATCT